CCTGTAAGTGATAAGAGCTCAGCTGAGAAGAGCAGTTTTCCCCCTCTCAGCCTACAGTACCTCTTAGAAAACTCTCTCTGGGTTTAAAACTGTCTGAAAGCAGATGCAAGACCTCATGAAAGAGGTGCTCACACTGCCTTGAGAGTGCCAGAGAAAAACAGAAGTCTTCCATGATTTACATTGCTAATAGTGAAGACTGATACTGCCTAGACCGTTGGATTTGTTTAGCAGCCCAAGCCTACAAACCCACTTCTTTGCTTATTTTCTTTGACTGTAGAGAAGCATATATGAACCCAAATACATTTACAGCAACTCCAGAGCAGGAACAGGTCAGTCATTACTGTCCCAGTGCTCTTGCCACAAGAGGCAGCACCATGCACAGCTCCTTACAGGCCAGAAGACAAGTTGCACTAGGAACAAGTTTTCTTTCTTACTTTGCAGCAGTGTGAGAAGATCTGGCATATGTATTCTTGTGTGTATCGAGACCTACTGAGCAGTGCCATGAGATGAGAAATAACTGTAGCATCCTGAAAACAAGTGAGAACAGAAAAAAGAGTTAACACTGTATTTCAGTACATTTTCTTCACAGTTTGTTACTGAAAAGAGCGCTCCTGATTCTGCACTTGGTGTTCTCCCCTCCACGGAAACGCGTATGGATGCACAACAAGTAGTTCAGGAGAGACTCTGAGGCATAAGTGACAGTTCTGAGCCAAATCCTCATGGGGGAAAAAAAGTAAAAAGTCAGTGGAAGTTAGGTACAGAACTTCTGGGATTTGTCTCCAGAATCTCTGTGACAAAGGAATAAAAGAATGGGGGGAAAAATAAACCAACTGCAAACATGGGCACTGAAAGTGATTAGTCCAGGAGCTGTCCCCGTATAGTGCCACTGCGAGTGTGACTGACTCACCTCCTCATTTCAGCTCCCACTGCAGAGAGCAGGGACAGGAATGAGGTGCCAGCCTGGACAATGGACAGTCCTCCTTGAATTCTGGGGCACTCACTTTCTAATCAGCTCTTGGGGGGTAATAATGTCAAACACACAGTGTATGTGTGACACTAATGACAGAGGATTCCAATTCATCAGCAAAAGAAAACCACTATACTCAAGTGGAAGGTTCCCTAACCCATGGCAGGGAGTGGAACTAGATGATCTTTAAGGTCCCTTCCAACTCACACCATTCCATGGTTCCATGATCAGTTCCCTTCTGGAAACATATCCAGTTACCTAAGCTCTGTGGTAAGTTACAAATATAATGTTTTAAAGCTTTCAGTTACTTCCCCCAGCACGTTTTAGTGGCTGCAACTGTGGTGGTATTAAAAGAAACAGTGGTCCCTTCAGTTTGGGAAGGGGTAAACTAAGTGACTTGCATGAGAAAAAGGGACTGGCCGGAGGAGGACTGGGTGAGTCTGTACCCCCAAAAACCATCGCTGTACTGGCCCTGCACGTGAAGTCAGGCTCTGTTCTACCTGCAGAATGATGAACTGCAACCCTGTGACGTGGAGAGGTGGGTTCAGGTGAGAGCAGAACCTCCCTGCTGCTCAGCTGCCCCTGCAGCTGCAGACACAGCTGCTCACCAGAGGTTTCACTTCCCAAGCACCTGGGAAATTTCCAGCCAGACTTTTTGACACTGGCTAAACAAACACATACAAGTCTCTGCTATTTGCATGAATATTTGAGATGAGGCAAAGCTTTGCAGCATCAATTTTTTATTTTCAATATTTTACATTTATTTCTACATACAATTATCACAGTTGTTCCATGCAGCTGTGCTGCCAACAATCCTGACTTCTCATTCTCACCCAAAAACAATGGCACAGCAGAGCCAAGAGAGACACTGAGAATAAAACCAACTGGTTTCCACTGCTTGTTTCTCAGTAACTGGCAAGGACCAACGTGCAACAGCCCTGACTGCCACTTCAGCATCCTACACAGAGCAAGTTACTTACTCACAGCTTTCTCCCAGGTACACCATGCCCATTTAATGCTCATATGCATAGGAAGAGCAAGGGACAACTACTCTCAGCAATACTACTATGGTCTGCCCAACAGCAGCTCCAGCTACTCTGCCTTTACACAGGGACCTAGACAAACATGGTACTTTGCTTTCCAACTTCAGCACCCAAAGGCCAGAAGGGCCTGGTGGTGCAGGGAAACAGTGAACACCGAATCACAGAATCCCAAAATGGGTCAGGCTGGAAGGGACCACAGTGGCTCATCAGATCCCACCTCCCTGCTCAGGCTGTGCCATCCCAGAGCACATGGCTCAGGATTGTGTCCAGATGGTTCTGGAATATCTCCAGTGAGGGAGAATCCACGACCATTCTGGGGAATCTGTTCTCAACTTCTCTGAGCTAAGGCAATCAAGCTGACAATGCACCCAGAATTCCTCTGTGGTTTAACACATTTGCCCCACTAAAACAGATTCTTGTCATTCTCTGTGAATCTCAGGCAGCTGAAGACATCAAACCACGTCAGTGTCCCACACAACACACGTATGTACATGCCAAGAGGCTGAGCACCTCAGACCAAGGATCCAAAGTCACGAGGGAAGGGGCAGAGAAAAGAAGACCTCAGCATTCAGAGCAGGGCAGCTTAAGAAAAAGGAGCTTCAAAATGTGAGATGGAAGACCTGAGATCTCCTGCAGGGAAATCCCTGACATGAAGCCTGGAGTATTCAGAGGCCTCACTATTAAAGCAACACAGACAATGTTCCCTCATCTCAGTTACATGGTTTTTCTCTCTACCTGATCTAGAAACCCACAGAACATCGCACAGTGTGGGGATGTCAGCAAGCAGCAGCTTTGCTTCTTGATTCTGCTAAAACACATCCAACCTGTACAACAATTTTGGTATGCATATCAGAAAAGAACCTAAAAAGAGTAAGGGCATGTGTGGACATTATGGACTTCAACTAAACACAAAAGAGTATTGTGTGTCAGCAAGAGGCTATGGGATTTCACTTTATTGTACTAACACCCAAGTTACAAAGGACCTTCCAAGCAATCGTATGAGTGAGGTTGAGTCTATGCTCATAACTGATAGTTCAAACAATGAGAATCACAAAGCCATTAAAATGTTGTCTGTTAACCAAGTAGTTCCAAGCAATTTATTACAAACATCTACACATTACACGTATTGTGACACAATTACTGCCCATCCAGACAAAGAGAATTAACAGGGTTGTGTTGACCTGCTTGGATGCAAAGACCTAATTCCTTCATACTCATTTTTACCACTAAAATAAAATTCCCAAGGTCTGTTCTTAGAACATTGCTTTGCAGCAGAGGATTACTGTTCTTTTTTCCAAGTCAGCCAACTGAAATGTTTATATTCACCCGAGTAACTCAAGCTCTGTAAACCAGAACTGAGTATGTTACAACTCTTGTTTTCAGAACACAGTTCAGACTGGAGAACACTCAGCCTTGCCCCTGGCCACAAAGCACCAGTGGGGAGGAAGGAGTGAGGCAGTAGGAGCTGACCCAGATTTCTGCGTCAGGAACAGCTCTCGCTCCTACACATGCAGCACGTGCTGCCACTGCTCACTGCACACCTGCTTCTCAGGCACTAACTCGTCCTGCTCACCCTGTTCTCCCAAGTCTTCCTCCAACCCTTCATCACCAGGTGATGTCAGCTTTTCCACCAAGGGCCTGCCCAGGAAGGAGGAATGCCTTTCAGCTGCCATCACCAGCTCACTGAAGCAGGGAAAGTGAGATTTCTGACGCTGCATTTCTCATGGTCTCAGCAGCACAGGCTCATCCTGCTGCAGAGCCTTCACTTCCCAAGACTCCCATCAGGACAGGCTCATTCTGAGTAGGGAACACATCTGCCTCCTCTGGCAAGACCAGGGCAGTAGCCACACACAGCAATATCTCACTGAAACTGTATCTGGGTCCCACTGGGGAAGAAGAATGGGATCACAACTGAGAACATCTGTCAGAAAACACGCAGAGTGCCTTCATGGGCTGGAGACATTTTCTGCCACTGAATCCATTCTTTTTGTTTTAAATAAAACAGCAAGAACTGAAGCTACAGTCAGAGTGAATCTGACATAGTGCTCGAATCCATCCAGCAAGCCAAACCACACCTACCACAGCTGGGGCTGGTGCAGATGGACAGAACACGTCCCAGTATAATCCTAGAGTCAAAACCCTGCACGTGTATAGCTGTATCTCTCTGCCTCTGAGGGGCTCAGCAGCTCCCCCAGGGCTGGAATGGTTTGCACTGTGGGCTCCCAGCCACCCTCAGCAGCTGGACCTGCTGGAGACCTCCACCCAGCCCAGGGCAATGCTCCCCTTCTCCCAGCAGGAAGAGACTGCTGGCACAGTACAGCTTTCATGCCTTGTTACTACTGCACAAGACTTTTCACTCCCACCATGTCTACAGGTATTAAAAAGACGTAATAATCTGCTTACAACTTACTGTGTACAGCAGATCCTCTGGAGTTACAGGACTGATGAAAATGGTGCGGAGACATCGCAGGCAAGCCTCGATAAACTTCAGATCTGGCGACAGCAATCCTACAAACGTGGGCAGAAACCACTACTCAGTTTCATCATCTTTGCTGATTTCAGTACTTTAGGAACATTCACTACCACAGGTGCACCAAGCCAGGAGTACCTTGCAGTAAGGCTGGGATAATGTGGCAGTCCAGGAGGGATTTGACGTTGTTCTCCGTGCCCATTGCCAGGCTGCCCAGGACCACGGCGCACTCTGCTCGCAGCTCTGTGCTGGAGGTCTCTTGCTGAAGTAAATACAGCAACCTGGAAAGAGAGGCATCTTTAGAGCAAAGCTCAGGTAAAGAGAAATTTTAAGTCTAGTTGAAAAAAGAAAATCTGAACCCTGCTATGTAAAGAAGATGAAATCCTTAACAGAAAGATGAAGACTGAGCGAAAAAGCAGATGAACACTTTATTCATCAGAACCTCTGGACACTGTTGTTCCTACAGAGGGGTTATGGGACAAAAGTAACACACTCTTTTTCTTGAAAATGTAGTGTCACAGCACTGATATGCAGGATGAGGTCTCTCAGGATAGCAGGAATATCCCAGATCCCAACCGCAGGAAACAAGTCTGCAACATGATGTCAAAGGGAAAGGGAACCTTGTGCACCTTCCCTAACACCTAGCACACAATTACCACTGTTGTGATGGTTGTTATCTTTGGCAAGGATTTTTTCTGGGTCGTGGTTGCAAAATAACTCCACCATCAAGCACGGGTATGGGGACTGGGAGCAATCTGAGCCTGGAACACTGAGAAATGATCACAGACAGACATAAAGGAAGGCCAGAAAAGTTTTACTGAATTGGAGCTAAACAGAATTTCTTCAAGTCTAAACCACATCTTGCCAAAAGCATACATTGGGTCTCAATCAATCTGGATTCTTCCTACAGTGCCAAGATGCTCAGGAGCCCTTTGGCATGTATTTCAGACTCATAGGTAGTACCTGAACCACAGCAGAGGTCACTGAAATTGAGTCATACAAAGGGCTCAGAGAGCAACCAAGTTCCTACCTCACATCAGCACAGAAGATAATCAATAAGGTTCACATGGTTCACAGCTGTGTTAGGGCTGGACAACCCTTGCCAGGAGGAATTCTCCCAATATCCAACCCGACCCTCCCCTGGCACAGCTTGAGGCCATTTTCCCTTGTCATGTGCTTGTTCCCTGGGAGCAGAGCCTGACCCCTCTGGCTGCACCTCCTGGCAGGGAGTTGGAGAGAGCCAGAAGGTCCTCCTGAGCCTCCTTTTCCCCAGGCTGAGTCCCCCCAGCTCCCTCAGCCTCTCCTCCAGACCATTCCCCAGCTCCATTCCCTTCTCTGGACACCTCCAGCATCTTGATATCATGTCCTAAAAAGACTGCTGTTTTCCCCAGAAGGACTGTAACAAATTCAAAAGCATCCTAAATTCTGAAGGTTGTTCTCTTCCAGGGAAAATAATTGCTATTTTCATTCCCATTCACACTCTGCACTTGGAACAGATGTTACAGCTCTGCTACTGTTAACGAGTGAAAACGAACCACACTGACTATAACCCATAGCCTTCCTATGTGTTTAAAATAGAAAGCCCTAACTAAGCTTTATAATTAGTGAAGACCAAAATTTAAGTTCAGATTTGACATACAATAAATTTTGGAAATATTAATAATATCCTTTTCTACATCTTCAAAACAAATTTGTGTTTCAGGTTAGGTTTTCTACAGAGTTGGAGATCCACATTGTAACATTTTCTATTTCTTTCTTTAGAAGACAGAACTGACACCAAGTAACACTGAAAATTAAGTAGTTACATGAAAAACTGTAAAATTACAAAGAGTTTCAAGGAGAATCTATATAATCACTAAAAATGAAACTGTATTAATAAATTCCTGTCAAACACTGAGGACAAAGACCACATCCTTCTATTGTCCCGTGGAACATCCTGGACGAGAATGCTGTTCCCAGGATCTATCCTAGACAAATCCAGCAGAGGTTTGTAATATATTCCTCCCATATATTAACATCACTAGGATAAAAAGGTACAAAAAAGGCAGGTACATGCCAAAAAAAAAGGAAGATTCTAATTTGGACTTTGGAGATTTAAAACTTATTGCTAAGGTTCATAGCCCACATGTCTTAAGAACAGGAAGCCTCTGCATAACCTGGACCCCTGACCCTGATCCCTTGTCAGCCAGACATTTGACTTCCAAAGCTGTGGAAATCCAGAACAGGGCTCTGCTAGAAGCACCACAACTCACTCTGGTAGAGCCCAAGAGCCTCAGGACAAACCCAAACCACAGAACAGATATCCTAAGCAAAACAGTGTCCGTGCTCTCGTGACACTTCAGTCTGTGATTCTGCAGCAAAGCTGAGGCAGGAAAGGAAATAAAGCTAATGGCAACATCTCACAGCATCCTCTGGAACATTAATCCAAGGATTTAAAATGCAGTATTTGGACTTTTGTCAAACTTCTACAAGGCTCCTCAAGATATTTTCCTCTAATGTTTATATAGAGCACAAGTTCTTCCATCTGTCCCTGCCCTTCTAAGGGCAACTAACTGAGGCCTCTCTCTCAGATGTCAGGAATGGTATCCAGGCAATCAGACCCAATGATGTAGGACAGCATCCAGAGAGACACTTCAGTGAGCTCCACAAACCACCACACAGGACACCAAAAATCAGGTCAGCTGGACGCATGACGTGCTCTGAGCAACTGGCTGCCACTCACCTAGGAAAACTATGGGTTGTCCTGAAGTGGAAAACTTCCAAAGAAAGCAGCTGCAGACCAAGTGGTAACTCCAGAGGCTTAGCAAGGAAGAGAAATAGCTGAGATGTCCATGTCTGGTGAGAAGGATCAGATGGGTGTGGTGCACCAGAGCTGCACACTCAGGCGCGACTTAGACCTCAGCCAGTCTGAACACAGACCTCGCAGCTAGCTAAAAATAACACTCCATCCCACGGGCAAGTGGTCACAAAAATCTCTGAAGTTCTTAAAATACCTGGGAAGGAGCTGAAAATCAGAACTCCATCAAGCCCCACGAGCAGCACCTGACAAAAATGCTCAGGGCAACAGTCTGAGTACTGGGAAGCTTAAGATACCTTTCACCAAAGTATGAGTGAGCAAGAGCTTTAACTCAGTCCTGGTTATCTGAGAATCTGCAATCAGAATGCACTACCTGCTGGAACGATCATGATGTTTAGCTCTGCCCTGGAAGATGTTCGTCTTTCAGTCTATTGCAAAATCTGCCGTGGAAACACCTGGCACAGACACCAGGGCAGGCCCTGCTGAGGTGTTTTATTCCCTGTGGGCCGACAGGATATGCCACAAAGCTCCTGCATGCACAGAGACTGACCTCTGAACATGCTGGACATCCCAGGACAGTCCAGCCCAAACTCTGCACTGGATCCATGTATGAGAACAGCTCGGACAAGATAGGCCATCATACATTTTTGTAAATAACTCCTTCTAATAGACTTTCAGCACTACTTTTCAAACATCACAGGAAGCAATCACTGTCTACAGACTTTTCCAAAGCAAGAGGTATCACTTTCAAAGTACCCTGAACAATTTCTGTACAATAGTATCTGAATTGGCACGTTAAATAGCTGTGGATTCTTACACACAAGGACTCAAACACGTGATTTTTTTAGCCAAAGAAATGTGTTCTGAAGTGAGATGTCACAGTCTCACTCCTGGAGGCTACAGGTTAATTCCAAACTTCCAGAGGCTGGATCCAAGGGGCCTGGGCTAACCCTACCACCTAAACCAAAGACAACTGCTGCTGAAATACTTCACACACCACAGACTGTACCTGTCAGCTCTCTAAAGAAGCCAAGCTGCAAGCTGAACAGTGTGAAAGGAGGACTCAGCTTCGAACTGCACTGCTGAAAATGTTCCAGCTGCGAACTGCACTGCTGAAAATGTTCCAGCTGCTTAAATGCCTGCAAAGGAGACAGCAACACACACCCCTGACACGTGGGGCACAGACAAACATGTCCTTATACAGTGCTGCAGGGAAGTTAGCTCAAAGCAAGCTTTTGCTTCAGGAATAAACCAAGGAGTCTCAGCTTACAGCTCCAGCCATTTATCCTGATGTTTAGACATCCTCCCTTACATTAACATTCTAGGAGTGTTCTGTATACATCACATGATTTTCATCCAATCTGATTTTTGTTCACTTAACTAAACCAAATATTGGAGAATTTTAATATCTCCTGAGCTGCAAGAGGTCTGACTCTTAACACCCACGTTTTCAATGACAAAGTAAGGACCAAGTTTCCTCTCACCTTTCTCTTCAGTACCATTTGAAAATAGCTCCCGCTCCTCTCCATGGAGCCAGCACTGTCTGACTCACTCCTTTACCGCTGGAATACTCTTGTCCAGCATTCAGCTCTCTGCTAACCCTTGGATGAGTTCCTACCTCAAGGTTCTCCCAACTCTCTCGAGTTGTTCCCTGCAGGGCAGGTGAAGCTCCTTCACCTAAACACGCAACCCACAACATTTGGGCACAGATTCCTACCCTGTGGAGTATATGGCACAGAAAATCCCAATGCCAAGTGCAGCCAAGAGCAGAACAAGGCCTCAGGAAAATGTCCTGACCTCATAAGGCAGCTCAAGAAGTTTGGACTGAACAGCTCACTAACGTGCACGACAGGCCTAGCACTGCTGAGTGCCTGAAAGCAAGCTGGTGACACCCAGGTGATGAGTGCCTCAGATGATGTGCACCACTGTGACTGGTACATCCACAACCAGCAGCAGCAGCCACACAACAAGCTGCTTTGGACACCTCACAGCTGCTGCAGGCAGCAGGGACACTGCATGGGACTGGGGGCACAGAATCAGAGCTGTAGGGAGCTTCTGGCACCCTCCAGGCACTGACCTTGCTCCAGGCAGGATCAGCAGACTCTGCACCACTGGGAGTTACTGTCCTGCTTGCTTTTCAGACTTCCACTGGAAGAGACTCATCGCCCTGTCACCCCCAGCAGCCTCAGCACTGCAGTGCTGTGGGGCAAGTCTTACTCTCTTCTACTCTGTGCACATCTCTCCTTTTTTAACTAGCAGAACAACACCTACCTTTTTGTCAAAGTTAGCTGGCTGTAATCACTGAGCTGCAGCAGATGTCTGGACAAACACCAACACAAGAAGCAGCAGAAGGATGTGACAGAAGGACAGAGGGATAGTTCTCTGAGAAGAGATCTGTTACACCAACTTGGCTTTTCACCTGCACCTTTACCTGCCCTGCTGGGGCAGAGCCACCTAAGTTCATTCCCTTCATCTCTTTCGGTAAGTTACATAGTTATCAAAGCAGCAGCCTTAGTTTCTTGGCAAACTCCAAAAGAACATCGCCCGAAGAACCTGACTATGTTTAACAACAAATTGAAACATAAAACTTCATGGGTGTCCACGCTGGTGTGCTCAGGGCCCTAAAAACAACTTCAAACCCCAACAAACTCTTACAGTTTTCACTTCCACAGACAACCCAACAGTGTACTGCCTAAAAGCCAAAATTCAGATGATGGAATGGATAAGGGTCCATCAGCTGTGCCTTTAAAATGTGCTCCAAAGAACTGGCAAACATTTTAAAACCCAGGACAAACAGAATCACTAATCAGTGACTTGGGGAAAGGTTCAAATTGGCTATATGAAGTCCTCTGAAGAGCACCTACCCAGAGACAGGCTTGTAGCTCTGGAAAGACACCACCGTGACACAGCTCCAAACAACTCACTTGGCAGGATAAGAGAACCATCAGTGGGAGGTTAGAAAACCATTTTTGGTAAGTGACAAGAGTGATTTAGTGTTTTTGTTAAAGGCCTCGGGTGGTTGGGATTAAGATTTGATTTTAAATCTCTCCATTCATTTTGAAGCAAAAGAATAACTGAAGCTCTTAATGAGAAACTCTCCCTAAAGTGGATTAGACTTTAAATACCGAGCTCTCAGCAATAACCAGATCAGCAATTCCTTGATTCAGTAAGGTTTTTGACAAAATAGCACAGGTCAGAGTTTTCACAGGTAACCACAACGTACAGGAGGACAGAGCTATGCTGTGCTGACTGGAATTTAACATTGCCTTCCAGCAGATGAAGGAAGAGGAGGAGAGGAAATCCATCACAGGCTTGAAAGACCCAAGTGGTGACTGGATTACACACCACGGAGTATCTCTCAGGGTACCCAAAAGTGGTCCTCAGACTTGCCACACTGACTTAGCAGAACTTAACTCGTGTCCATTTAACTGAATGTTTTTCTTTCCCAATTCCATCTCTGGGAGCCAAATACACCTCCGAGGACTGGGAGGCAGTAGCACTGCAGGCTAACTGCTGCCACATGAACACTGGTCAGTCACTTCAGCAGCTCTGGCAAGATGACTTAGAAAAGAACAATTTACATTTGAACTGAGGACTCAAACACCTTTCTGAGATTCAGGATGTTAGAGCAACTGAAAAAAGGCAATAAATACTGAACTTGGCCTCTGGAGAGGTGCCTGACATGGAGATAGATACAAAAGCTGCAGTATTTGTTCTTACAGAACTGATGAGTAAGGGAGCACACCACTCACTAGTCTGGACTCCCTCGGTCTCTCTCTAAAATGGGAACAACAAGAATCAGTGGGAGTTGCAAAAATCCCTTAGGGCCTGTGCTAAAAGAAATTCCTTAGACTTCTCATGATCTTCAACAGAGGTCCACTTCAATCCTTCCACCTCATGGGAAGTCTTCTCTCCACCTGTTTGTATGTGGTCAGAAAATAATCCAGCAGGTTCTGTAGAGGGGGTGTCCCCACCACTAATCCCTAGGGAATTTCAACGGCTGGCCTGGACACAGACTCAGTCTGCACATGAGAAGATAATCTCTGCAAATAAAACACATTTTGGCCAAGCCAGAAGCAGCTCTCAAGCAGGAAGGGCTGGGACCTGCTGCCACTCAAGCACAAGGATCAGAGGTGGGTGCCACACTGCTAGCCAAGGACTGCAGTGCTCAGTGCTCTCCTCCTCCAGTGCTGCAACCTGGCTGAAAAAGGCTGGAGGAGAAGAGGGGTGAAATGAAAGCTGCACTGAGCCACCCAGGAGTCAAGTTACCTGTTAAACCTGTACTAGTCCAGAAAATGTTACCATCAGCTGAAGCACGAAGGCAGCAATAAAGTGTGATCAATGGGTTTTAATCCTCTGAGGCAGGTGGGAAAAACAAGCAAATCATCTCAGATGTTTTTTTATATTTTTAAATTGCATTTTTAACAAACCCTTACACATTTTCTGTCATGAACTCACCAGGCAATTGGCTGAAGAACAGGATCAAGATACAACCACTTCCATCCATCATTAATATCAATGTCACAAATTAGATTTTATTCCTGAGCTGATAAAGTTTAATAAAAATTGCCAAGACTATTTTAGAGAATTCTATGAAATTCTAAATTAAAAGCATTACTCAACAGCCTGCTCTGCAATACATGAGTTTAACAGATACTTCAGGTCTCTCTCAGTTACATTAAAGAAAGTATTCAGTCAACTACAATCAAAGTTAAAACAAAAAAGTGCCTGTGATCTAAGGCTCATTATTCCAGACCTGTTGTGAATCAGTGAAAAGGAGAGTAGCAAAGGACATACCTTGGAACTGCTCCCAAAACAATCAAGTTGGCTTTTTGTTTGTTGTTTCCAATTACAGCATTTTTCATATCTCTGTAAATCCAGAAAGAAAAACAAACCCTGGTAAATGATGCTGAGGTACTGAGGGCTTATCTACAGAATTCACTACTTCCACGAAGGCTTAGCAAGCAGTTTGCCACATGTCCATGCTGCAGCTACCGACTGAGCAGTGCTCCAGGGCACTCAGCCCACAAGCGAACACCCCAGAGCCCTGGGACTGCACTACATCCCAGCTCCTGCAGGGAAGCACAAACCCAACTGTCTCACATGCACACCAGAGAGGGAGAGGACTTACACCGAGGCAAACTAGGTACACTGCTTCTGTGTGCCCACAGAGTCACTGAAGTAATTTAAAAACCCACTGTTGGCTGGGAAATCAAAGGTTGGTAATTTAAAGTATTAAATGAATATTCTACTGGGTGCAGGAAAAGATAAGCTAAAGGAAAAAAAGGAACAAGGAACCATCATCAGACTCCAGAGCTTTCACTCTTCTCTTCACCCCAGGCTGCCTTCTATGAATTTCCATAGGACACCTGAACATCTGTATGTCAGAATCTCAGGAATTAAGTGGAAACAGGAGCATTCTCCTGGCTGAGAGTTACTGCAAGGTTAAACACACTGAAGGGGCAGGGCAAGCAGTTTGGAAAGAACACCAAGAAAACGTGTGGCTTGCAACCTTGTAAATTCCTACTGTATCCTAAGAACCATCACCACTTCATAATTTCTTTGTTCTTCATATGAACACATTGAACATACAACAGCATCCAGGGAATCTGAGAGCAAACTAGCAACTTTGACCTGGGTTCAGAAAAATCAAGATGGCACATTTCTAGGAAGCTTTCTAGTTGCAGGGACCTCTAAGAGTAGAGGATAAAAAGAGACCAAATTCAAGCAATTCTTTATCAACAGAAAACCAAAACTAGATTGATTATAGTGTTAGCAGCTGCAAAATTCATAAATTAATCACTATGCCCATAGTTCATTCAAGTAATATGGGAGCTTTAGTGGTTGCACATTTTCCTGTCACTGTATCACTCACCTGCTACCTGCAAGTGTTAAGAGATGAAGAGAGGCCTGTTCTGAGATCCTCTGGGACCCACTGAATGTGCATATTCCACTGCAATGAGCCATTGTCCCAACTGCCCCACGTTTAACAACTCACTTCACTAGTTCCAAAAGCTCCTTCACCAAGGCAGGCAACATCTGGACTGGCATAGACAAAGCCTTTATAAACATTGAAGAGCAAAAGGCAATTGCCTGTTCCTCCTGAAGTGTCTGTCTCTGTGACTCAGCCTCCCTTGCACACCTCACCCAGCCACAAAAGAGTGCTCAAGGGATTTTAAGCAGAGGCTAAATCCTCGAGTTTGGCTGTGATCTTGGAGCTCTGACAAAGGAGCAGCACTAGAAGGAGTTGATCTGCAGCTCTGTGCACCTCCTAACCCAGGCAGAGTCAGGAGAACCATCAGTGGACAGCAGTGTGTCCAGGCAGCACACAGCTCCACAGAGCTGAGCACCAGCAGCAAACCCTGCACCTCTCTGCTGTACCTGCCCTATGTCTGGTACCTTCACACCACGGGCAGGAGGTGCAGGGAGGGAGTAAGGGCAGAAGACAGACTAGGCTGGAAGCCCAAGGATGTTTAAGGACTGGACTTGAGCATTTCACTGAAGTCTGTTTCTATGCTGAACACTTGACATGAAAGGCAATTTCTCAAGGTCTTTAAAACACAAGAGTCTGTCCAAACCAGTGGCAGAAGCAACATGCAGATGCCCCAAAGGAATAATGAAAACTGTACCAACAGACATGCTAGGTTCAGGCACTGAACTGCTCAGGCCACTCTGGAAAATGTCCCTCCTTGGCATCCTCAGGCCCCAAAGCCTTCACAGTACATTTTAAACCTGAGACTTGATATTTCTGCCTACATTTATGACAGTGCAATAAAGCAATTTACATGAGAAAACCTTTCAAGGAGGAATAATCCAGGCTGCCAACAATAAAACACAGCAAAGCGATCCTCTCTAAGCACTTAGCAGTATTGCTTCCAAGTGCTAAACCAGCTTTTTCCATCTTATGGCTTCTTAAAGAGATGAGAATGTGGTTTCACCAGTCCAATGCTGAGAACACTCAGCTTTAAGTTAAGAAACAAATTAGCCTGGAAAAGCACCAGGACCGATTTTCTTCCTATAAACTCGAGAAAAGAGGAGAAAATTATGGAGTGAGGTTTATCAGCTCTAGTAATGTTTTGCACCATTGCAACCCAGAAGCAACCAGTTCAATTAACTAGCTACAAATAAAATGCAATGCCTGCTAGTTTTTAAGTGTATTAGCACAGCATGAGTGTTTAAAGCATTTTAGGTACACTGAACTCACCAAAAGAAAATAATCTAATTTCCATCCAAATGCAGCTCAACAAGAGTTACAAGAGCGACTAATCTGTGTATGAAGCTCTGGCTTTATCCTGATGTTTAAAGGCACCAGATAGAGCTGATTCAAATAAGCAAAAAGCAATATTAAATATAGTAATTTGCAAGGAAAATATGACTTTGGAATTTCAATAGTTCCTAGCCAATAAAATGTGATATTATTAAATGCCTAAGTCCTGAGAAAATTACCATTCTAGTGTGTCAATTAAAAGTGTTGTAGAAGCAAGTTAAAGTGCTGAACTTTATCCTAAACAGAAATTACTGAAGTTCAACGTCTTCAAGAAGTTGATTCTATGTTTGGGACTCCTCCTGCAAAACAGAAACCCAACGAAACCGAAGGGTGCAGTTCTCTGAACTGCTGGGAGCTCAGTCCCAGCTGGGACAGAACAGATCTCTACAGCATCCCCCCAGAGCCTCCACACCTGCCCCTCCCTGCAGAGAGGTCCTGAGAAAGCAGCATGGATACAAGGACACCTCCCAGAGAATGGGGGTCTCCCTGCTTTTGAAATGCAGTCAGTCAAACACAGACTGAAATAACACAATTCCTACAGAAGCCCTGGAGCTTTCCTGTGTCACCTTCTAGCACAGCAACGCACACACAAGGCAGACTGGCTTGCTGAGGAAGCAGCCACAGGAACCACACAGAGGAGGAGGAAGTAAACAGCCTGCAGCATATTTCCTCATCTCAGGGCTTTTGAAACAGAGCAGGGAAGTTTAAGAGGTTCCTAGACAGAGAAGGACATCCAGCACGAGATGCACACTAGGCACCTCAGGCCAACGGTTTCACTTCCAGTCTGAAACAGTTACAGGAGATTCCAAGACTCTGATGCAGACGGAGGAAGCTCCCAACACAAAGCACTGTCAGGACAGGAGATTTCTCTCCCAGAGCCTGGCCAAAGTCACCAACAATGCAATGACGCAGAGCAGCACTGGGGAACGCTTTCCAGAACTCACAGAGCAAACACCCCAAGAGCTGAGGTGCTGGACTGGCAGCTGACACAAGGACACAGCTCAAACAAAACCCATCTGCCCCAGCTCCAGGGGTTTCTAAGTTTCACTATCACACAAGTCAGTGGTCCCTGGGTTGGCTGGACTCCAGTCAGGAGCTCACTGTGGGGCTAAGCTTTGGACAATCACACCTTTATAGCTTTTGTCTCTTCCTTCTCCCTTCCTTCCACTCTCCCATGTCAAGGGACAGAAGCAAAGCAACAACAGGAGTTAATGACAAATTTTGCCAGTTGAAATGTGTCCATCACTATAGTGACAGAACCAATTCCTAAGATGGACACGACCATGGCTTGAAGCCTTTTGCTGCCCCTTTAGCAGGGAGGGTGTTTGTACTCACACGGGTGCTAGTCCAAACAAGTGAACAACTTGCTGAAAACTCCTGCCAACTCAAGCAAAACACAGAAGTCATAAACCAGCTTGGGTTTAAGGTTAATCATCAAGTTGGGAAGAAAAATTTCAGGATTTCCAATCCCATTCAAAAAGTATCAGTTGATGCAATGTGAAAAGCGATTATAGGGGAAAGAACAAGCAGCACATAGAGACAATGTTACTCAACTCCCTTGAATTTACTTGCAAACTGCAACACAATTAACATAAGGTGCAAGCTAAACAAGCTCAGCATTACACAAAACCCCTCAACCCATGGCTGTTCTCAACCTTAATTCTGTAGTCTCAGAGCATAAATTCAACGTGCTGTAGAAAAGTAGCATCTGGCTACAATTACAGCACTGCAGAACAGCGAAACTGAACACACATAATGCTCCAAGTGATCATTCAATCCATCTCCTCCACATCACAGAGCCACAGGAACCACGTGAGCTACCCGAGGTATCCTCTTTGGAGAGCCGACTTACCTTATCACAAGTTTTCTTGCCAAGGAAAAGGTACCAAACAGAAAGGTAAGCTGCTCCAGTGCTCTGTGCCTGCAGCTGGAGATCCTGACAGCTCACTGCTGCCCTGAGCTCACAGTGCTCACCTGGCTGGGTGTGGGACAGCCTCACACCTCTCACACCACCCCTTCACCTGCACGGCAGTGCTGGCCTCACGCTCAGCACATCAAGCTCTCTGTGTCTTTGGCTGCAGGCACGACTCAAGCTCCTTTCCTGCCTCTACACAGACTGACAGCAAGGGAGATGCTGCTTTTCCCTCCTCTCCCAAGCATGCTGTATTGCCTCACCCTTTGCACTGTCCTGCAATCGTGCTACAAGCTGCATGACAACACTAATGGACTGAAAATTTGCCTAGCTCAGCCTTAATAACAGTGGAGCTCAGATGTAAAACGCCTCAAGCTGGTGGAGAATGAGAGCTCACCTCGTTTTTATTATGTCACCTTTTACACTAAAAAAGGAAAGCCAAACCAACCAAACCACATAAACCACAGCTAGAGCTATGCATTACCAGCATTTCAATTTCTGCATCAATCTCTGCTGTTTAAATAAACAAGGTCCTGATAGTAAAGAATTACCCCAAAAGAGGAGTGGGCAAAACAGCTGCAGTTCAGCAGAACTCTCCGAAACTCTCAGCCCCAGAACATCCCCTGCTACAACACCAGAGCAGCAAAACACTCCTTTTACTGCTCTCCAAACCAGCCAAACCACATGAAA